TTTTTTTTTTTTTTTTTTTTTTTTATGATCTGACTGGAATGTGTGTGTGGTGGTTGCTGTTGCTTAAATGTAATGTGCAGGGCTGCATGCAGTCTGTCTGACGGCACCTTCCGCTCAGGGAGAGAGCGGGTGCTGGTACTTGCGTCATTGTTTATGGTCGTTAAATGGTTCCCCTGTGTGCAGACCAGACGCTCTGTTGGATGCCATGCCAGATACTCCAACAACTGCAAGTCCTGGGAAGAGATGCAGTGTGAAGGGGGGTGACGTGGAACGGCTTCAGTCTATATAAAACCTTGCACATTCTCCGCTGTACTCTTGGTAGCTGTAAGGTAGATGGTCAGCTGTGGTGACGCTGTCCCCAAAATGTTACTAGCACAAAAGCCCTGCAGATGTTCTTCATGCTGTAGTGAGGGCCTAACAGTGTTGAGGATGAGCATGGGCTGACGAGGTGAACATCCTTCTGCGTGGATGCTTCAGCTATTCCAGAACAGAAGGATTTTGTAGAGCCAGTTAAAGGGAGAACGTAAGTGCAGTCTTCAGAGCTGCACTGAAAAGGGGCTGTAAGTTCACTATGCAGAAACTAGTGTACTACACTGTCAGCAAAGAATGTGCAGAACAGGCTAAACAGGGAAGAGTTTATTAGTAAGTTTTTGCAGTAATCCTGCAGACAGCACCAAAATTTATTTTAGTACAGCAGTATTGTAGAGCAATGCCATATGTTCTTGCCTGAAAGAAAAATGGAGTTAGGTAGAGTGCTGTCATTACTGTTCTTGATCGGATTGTAATTGTCAGATACAATTGATTATAAGAGAGAGGAAAAGGCTCATTTCATACCCACTGTCTGGCAATTTAAACGTAGAAGCTGCAACAGATGTGTATTTGTAGTTGTGCAGTATTTATGACTATGGATCCACTATTAAAGAGCAAATTCTTTTTTTAAAAAGAGAGACACTCATTTCTGGCTTTGGAAGAAGACAGTTTTCTACAAATCTGCAACCTTTTTTTTTTTTCTCCTGAAGTGTAGCTTTTGACTTGTCAGCTGCTTAGAAAAAGAAAAACCCACAGATCTACAGGTGGTGTTTCCATATTAAGAGGAATTGTCAGTTCTTGTAATGTGACAAGGTGGCAGGAAATTGGTATATTTAATGTGGGAGAAAACAGATACAAAATCCTTAAGAAATGGCATTCCTTATGTCTGACCAGTTGTGTGGCTCTTACGTACAATCAGCACTTAATTTTCTCTGACCCAGTATTTGCATGTACATTGTCCTAAGTTTGGTCCGTGGGAGTACATCCTCTTAAATGTAAAATGTGCTTCTCTCTTTCAGGACTGCATCAACCTCTGTGGAACAAGTGAGAGAACGCAGTTATCAGAGAGCTTTACTCCTCAGTGATCATAGGAAAGACAAGGACAGTGGTGAGTTGATCTGTTGTGTCAAAGGCAGATAAATCTGACCAGTTCCCCCCGGTAGTCTGTAACCATTCTAATACTGTGTTTGGGTCTGCTTCATCTGTAGGGGGAGAATCACCCTGTAGCCCATGCTCACCGTCTCATGTTCAGTCTCCACCTTCATCTCATTCAAATCTCATTTCCCAGTTGCAGCTTAAGGTCCCTTCTTTCACTGAATTTATGGAAGGTCAGTAAGTGGATGACCTTGTATGACACTTGACATACCGACTAGTAAGTGCTTAGCGATCTTTGCAAAAGACGTGATTTTTCTTGCTTTTATATTTATCTCTGCTCTATGTCTGTAGAACCTGATGCGGAAAATCCAGAGCCTACTTCTGAGTGTCCGTCCCCAGATACTTCACAAAAGACTTGCAAGAGTCCGTCAAAAGCAAGCAAGGTAATGCAGCGTATGCAGGCGCGTACGGGTTTGCATGTGGATTGTATAGTATGCATGGCAGTACATACATCTGTCTCCGAGTTACCGTGATCTCCCGATTTGCTTCTTAGATGAGCATGTACATACGTAACCCTCTGTGCAATAATGTAACAGAGGTAAGTATTTGTGGCAGTCCGTACCAGCTGAAAAGCTGGTTTAGGTTCTGTTCTTTCAGTAGCTGTACCTGCTCATATATCACCTTGCATTCTGTAGACACAGAAGAGATCGTATCGGTGGATTCAGTGTCACCGCAGTTCTGCAGGGTGAATGCTGAAGAGCTGGCAGGCAGAACTGACAGTAGTAACGTGATTGCCGTGCTTCTCGCCTTACCGGGAGTTGGCTCTTGCCGTGTCAGGGTTTGGCACTGTCGGTCAGTAGAGGCACTGACACAGAGGAGGGTGTTCAGTAACACACACTGTGCAGTAATAAATGAAGCAGTTCAGGTTGTAACGTTCGGGCTGCTTGCACTGTGCCAATTTCAGGATGTTAAATCACTCTAAAAATGGCTTTATTTTGTAAGTGGTCTTGTCTGGAGTTATTTCTTGCAGACTCGGAAATCTAAAACGTTAACAAATATGAGATTCTGACTTTGACCTGATGGGTTGTGTTTCTGTTACTACTTTGAAATACACTTCCTGGTCTTTGACATTCAGGAAGGATTGATACATACTTACTAAAAACAGCATCTTTCTCAGTTGAAGCTTTCTACTGTTGCTAGTTTTCTTAGGCCAAATACGTACCCTGTGCCTCAGTGCTTTTTTTCACCATCGGCGGAGAGGGCGATGATCTGAGAAGTTCTTTTTGTTCTTACGCAGCTGCATTTCACCGTTTTTGAATGTTTTGCACTGACTGACTTTCTTTTCCTTCTAGCCGTCTTCACCGAGTCCTGTGGTTTCGACGCAGTCACTTGGGAAAACAGCCACAAAACCAGATTCGCACTGGGAAACTGCAGCTAATGCACCCGAGGCCGAGTGTGCGAATCACCCAAAAGCTGAGCTGCAACAAAAACAGCTGACAAATAACGTCCAAGCACTTTCAAAAAATCACCCACCTCAGTCGCATCTGCGCGGTTCTGCTGAGCAACTTTCACATTCACAGAAGCTGCCTTCTGCACCTTTGAAGCTGCATTGCCCCCCTTCGCCTCACGTGGAAAACCCTCCCAAGGCCCCTACCCCTCACGCGCCCGTGCAGCACGGTTATCTTTCGCCAAAGCCCCACTCACAGCCGCTGGGATCTCCGTACAGACCTCATCACCCGCAGTCGCCCCAGGTTGGAACGCCCCAGAGGGAAACGCACCGAAACTTCTACCCGGCGGCGTCAGCCCTTCAGCCCAGTAATCAGCAGCAGGCTAGCGGAGCCCTCTTCACTCAGACGACGTCAGGACAATCTTCCGCTGCATACAGCCAGTTCAACCAACAGAATTTGAACAGCAGTGCCCCACCGCCCCCGCCCCCGCCCCGGGACACCACGTAACGGCAGGGCATTTTTTGCCGTCTCAGAACGCCAGTATTCATCACCAGGCGTCGGCGGCTGCTGCTCCGCCTCCTCCTCCGCCACCACCCGCCCCAGGACCTCACCTCGTGCAGCAGCCAAGTACTCATCAGCAGCACTCTGTAGCACACGTCGTTGGTCCGGTCCATGCTGTGGCAGTAGCTCCTGGATCGCACCTTCATTCTCAAGCTGCTGGTCACCATTTGCCACCACCGCCTCCGCCGCCAGGTCCTCTCCCTCACCACCAGCCTCCCCACCCTTCAACTGGACACCAAGGTTTGCAAGCACAACACCAGCATGTTGTAAACTCTGCACCTCCGCCCCCTCCGCCCCCACCCTCTAACGTTATCGGCTCGGGGCATCACCCAGGGTCAGCACAAGGGTTACACCACCCGTCCCATCAAGGACCCCCCCATTTTCCTTCAAACGCTCACACGAGCGTGTCCTCCTACTCCTCACAAGCCCCGCATCACACGACGTTAGGACCTGGACCTCAACATCAGCCTGCTGGAACAGGACCTCATTGCCCACTCCCTGGTCAGGGTCCTCACATCCAACCTCAAGGACCAAACAGTATTGCAACGCCGACCGCCTCGGGGTTCTGCGCCC